AACCCCGGAGCCCGCGGCGGGAGCGGTGCCGTACCTGGATATGGGCGAGCTGCGCTCTCTCGCCTGCGACGCCCTCCTGCAGGAGAGCTTCTACCAGAATAAGAAGAGGCCGTTCCTCTACCGCGATCAGGACCATACGCCCGGCCCGTTCCTTACGCAGCTCGTTTCCACCCTCGCCGCTTTCCTGTGCGGTCGCAACCCGCTGCTGGCTGCCTCCTCTCTTGGTGTGGAACGGGGGTGGGAGGAAGAGGGAAGTGGGAGCCCTTGGGCGGGTGGGCCGGTCTGTGAAGCCGGCAGGAGTGTAGCTGGTGTAGTTGAGTTGTTCAGACCATCAGTAGTAATTCATCTTGTCTTCAGCATCCCACGTGATGCGAGGGGATTTTTATATTTCTATTTTACTGTAGCTACAGAACAAGAATTAGGAGGATTTTAAATGCAAAGGGGCAATCTCTGTTTCTTTCTGTCCATCTGTTCTGTTTCAGATCTAAAACCTGAAGTTAACTATTACTGGCATCATGGTGAGGAAGTTGTTGTTCATGGACATCGAAAGGGTAGAGTTGATCCTGTGCGATTTCAGATAGATGATAAACCGCACCTCCAGATCCGTGTTCCAAAGCAACTTCCAGAGGTGTGAATATTTTCAAGAGCAAGTTAATGGCATGCATTTTCACTTAGGTTTCTGACAGTCATTGAAACCATGCGATAGGTAGTATGTGGAGGACCTGGTTAACCAGGCACGTCACACATTTTTCAAGTCTTAATGCCTTTACTACATTGTGGTAACTGCTTTGTAGATATTGAGACAGTCTTCTGAACTGTCCGTCATCTTTGTGCTTTAGATAAAATGCATGTTGTTAGAATTAATTAAATGGAGTCTTTAATTTGTGCTTGAAGTGGAGGCAAGAGTAGGAATTGTGGTATGGAATGTTCTCAGTGGAGGAGAATAAGATGGGAGAAATGGAGAAGAACAGAATGAAGAAGTAAAAGAAAGCACAAATAATGTGAATGTGAGCTCTGTGACCTGTTAGTATTGCTTAGCAGTTTTCTGGAAGATGTTTCAATATTCTAATCTTTTTTTTGTAGGTTTACGCAATGGTTATTGTGTAGTCTCTGAGGGTCTCTGTTGCCCAGCTTCCACCAGAAATACAAAACTGTGCTCCACTTTCTGTAAACACTGAACTTTCTTGCTAACTTAATTTGCTTAGGTTAGTATTGTCAGATGTTACAAACCTTGGCGTTTTTGAGGAACTGTCCAGGCAATTACAAAACGTTGTGTAGCGCGAAACACTGAGTACCTGTAAACTCACTGCTGGTTTAAGTTTGTTTATTGACTGTTGCTGGAAATGTTTTTGCTCACCTTCTGCAGAAGCGGATTCTGGTTTTGAAGATGCTTACAATCAACAGCTTTAACAGCATTTCACATGATTTTTTTTGTATATTGCAGAAAATTCAGACAGTGTAAGATGCATGTACGCTATAGCACTGATCATAAGACAAGAAGTTCTGTGGCAAAAAATGATTTTAAGTTAAAGTTACATGGTGTATACTTGCATGTTCTGCTCTCTGACCAGAAAGTGGCATATTATCTGAGGCCTGATGTCAGAAACATGACTTTTCTTTCTTTTACTTCCTTCAAGATTGTACCTCTGGAGTCAGATCTTGGAGATGTTCCTGTTGTTGATCACAAACCATCCAAACTGCCGTTGTTCAAAAAGCAGTATGAAAACAAGGTATTTATAGGTAAGAGTTTCTAGTCATGATCTGTTAACTACTTTTTGGTGTAAAAAACCAAAACAAAACCTGACCCCATAACAAACATCAGCCCCTCTCGACCTTCCTCCTCCCATCAACAGGAAAAGCCATTTGTATATTTTTGTGTGTGTAACTATACCGTATATACACTGTATATGTTTCTGTTGAGATTCCGTTTCAGTTAGGCAAGGGGGAGTAGCATCTTCCTGTGCGTGTGGTACTCTGTGTCCAGATTTGCTTGAAGGATCTGGGTTGAATAGAAAATTGGTAGAAAACTTGCTTTGAGTTTTGAGGTATCTCCTCAGAGATGTTTTAGTATGTCAGCTCCTGCCTTTTGGAGTTGGGCAAGCCCTCCAGTCTCACCCAGAAATGGAGGAATCTAAACACTTACACAGGTCTACAGTAGAGGTTCTAGTCTGTTGTTTGGAGTCTTTGATAATAAAGATGTATTTTTATGCATAGTAAAGAGTGTTCTCTGACTCTCTAATTTTTTTTCTTTTGGGGGAGCACAGGATCAAAGGTAGCAGATCCATGCTGTTATGGACACACCCAGTTTCATCTTATTCCTGATAAACTAAAAAGGCAGAGGTTTGTAAGAGCACATCTTGAGGATCAGATTGAAGTTGTTTATCGAGCTAATGGTATTGCAAGTCTCTTTGCCTGGACAGCAGCACAAGCAATGTATCAAGGTGAGACAGTCAACTTGATAAATTCTTCCTGGTAATGAACGCCTGCTGTAAAGTTTCTAACCTTTTCTGCTCACCACCTTTTCCTCATGCTATTTCTTCTGAAGACCATCCTTTAAGTAGGTATTTGAAAATGTAATTGAATCAATGAATGAGGCAGAACTTATATAAGGGAGTTAGCTGAGACTTTGAGTACTATAACTCGGGGAGAGTTAATTACGCAGAAAAATATTTTTTCGTATATAACACCTAAGCCTGTGCAAAAAACCTCGGTCCTGCATCGACTTGCTCCCTCCACATTTTTTACAGGTGGTAGATAACGTTTTTATCTGTTTGTTTATTTATTTCTGAAACGACTCTGTTGCTTAGCGCTGTGTTTCAGAAGTGTCAATTCTATGAAACTACAATCAGTGAAAGAAAAAGGTCAGCAGTCTTCTTTTAGGATTTTATGCCTATGTTTGTCAAAAAATCCGGGAAGACCTGGATGGATAGACCAGATAAGTCTTTTGCTTATTCACGTAAATATGATTGTTATCTAGTGTTACTGGAAGATAATTGCTGGTTTGCAGTTCTGCTTGTGAAACAACACATGGAAGAAATTCCCTTGACTGTGTTGTATATTGCTGGCTCTGCATCAAATTTTTTATGTAATGGTATGTTAGAAAGCTTGAATTTTTTTGTGGATATAAAACATTGAAGTCAAGTAAGTCTTGGCTTCAAAGCTAGTTACGGTTGTCAGCACATTATGAGTTACAAGGGCAGCATGATTCAAATTTTATGAAGTTTTTTCTTTGTTCTGTAGCAGTTCCAGCAGTGTTGATTGCACATGATGCCAAATACCTTTTAAGAGTGTTACTGTATGTTACTGCTAGCACACATGCATAAATATGTGAAGAAAATATTTTTAAAAGACTATTAATGCTCAGCAGGGCTTGTTTGAAGTATTAATACTTACTGACATAGTATTCTTGGTATTGTCTGTCTGGTTATTACAGTCAGTTATGCTCATGCATACATATGCAAGCTTTCATCATGAAACGAATCTTCACTGCCCTGTGAGAAGTGTGGAATAGTAGAAAGACATTTCGCCTCAGGTCGCTTGCAGGAGTTGATGCATTAGCAACTTAATATTGGAAAGTCACTTGTCTGATCAGTGTGGGGTTTTTATCAGTCAGCAATAGGAAACTGTGTATGAAATACAAATGTGCCACTGTGTCCCTGATATTGGAAATACTCTTTAATTCGTGGTTGTGTTTTAGTTAGTCTGTATGAAGAATGCATGTGTTACTAAAGCAGATAGGACTTTTTCTCCTACTGAGTGGCTGCTGCAATTCCCAGTGTTTTTCTATATTTCAGGATTGGGGTTTAGATGTTTGTGCCGATAGGAATTTAGAGTCCTGTATAACTAGTGTTGTGTCTTTATTTTGTAGGGTTCTGGAATGAAGCAGATGTGACCCGCCCTTTTGTATCACAGGCAGTAGTGACTGATGGAAAATACTTTGCTTTCTTTTGTTACCAGCTAAATACTTTAGCACTAACTGTAGAAACTATTCAGAATAACCCTCGGAAGAATATTTGTTGGGGTACAGACAGTAAGCCATTGTATGATGTTGTGGAAGATGGTACTGTGAAAGGCTTTAATGATGAAGTTCTACTTCAGTTGGTTCGTTTTCTGTTAAACAGACCAAACCAGCTGTAAATCATTAGTGTTCCTGTTTATGTGCCTGAACTTCATTGTAACTCCATGAAGTGTGGGCTAGAATGCCTTGTTCTTAGCCAAGTATTTGTCTAGCAAACACTATATGCATCTTTCATGATATTTGGGTCTTAATTCTTTATTTTAAATGTATGATTCTGTACACTGAAAAATAAATCTCTAGAATACCTTAATGTCTTTTGTGTATGTACTCTTAGAAGTGTATTGCACTAATTCAAAGGCATATGAATACTTTGTTTCAGCAGTTTTTTAGCTCTATATTGAACTGTCACAGCAAAGCATGAATCTGTATGACCATCTGATGATGTCGCTAGGTGACTGCTGTCTTGATATTCAGCACCGGTGATGAAATTCTAATTTTGTGCCTGAAAAGAGATTAATTGTCTTTAATGTTTACTCATTCTAATGAGAAAGTGAGCTCAGAATAAAAAGTGTTTCTTAGAAGTGAACGATTGGCAGTTTAGTTGCATAGCTACGGAAATTTTTAGGCATTTATCGAGTGGTAGAAACACAATGAAACTTCCAAAGATTCTGTTATCAATGTGCATGCACATTTTTAAGCTGTCACCTCAGGAGCCACGTAAGAACTTCCAAATGCATTTGGTGGCTACAAGTTTTCCGTTTAGCTTGGGACCTTGATTACAGCTATAGGCATCTTGATGTTTTCATTGCTGGTAACTTGGGATGTCTTACAGCTGTTCTCAGCAGACCGCAGCTGAGCCCAAACCATGACTATCAGCATCTCTGATTAATCAGATAAAATAGGAATATTTACTTATCAGTGAAGTATATCTAGTTTTGAGGTAATAGTGCCTAGAATTTTACATAGTTCTGTACACTGCAACTGACCTTTTTGGAATGGCACCGGGGTCTTGTTAAGAGTCAAGTAGTTTGTTTTTAAAGAGACAGTACTGAATCATATGTGACTATTGAAATACTTGCCTGCACATTCTTCAGCCTAAGCAATTGGGGATCTGCTTCCTTTTTTAAACTGGCTTACAGAGTACTTTGCTAATGAAAGAGGACATAGTGGCAGAGTTTTATTTGATTGGTACTTTGCTATATTGGAAGGAACTATAGTTGCCACTTTCTCCAGCAAAGGATAATCTAGATAAGATGTGCATGAGTACTAGTTTCTTTTTAACAGAAGTAAAAGGTCCTTAAGTGATCTTTTTGTGTTAACAGTGCTGGAGTATTACTAGTCCTGGTTACTGCTGATCCTTGGATTAAACAAATGTTCTGTGTAGGAACAGAAGATAGACTGCTGGGTAGGCATGTTGATTGTATAGAATGACCTGTGACCTAGCTTAAAAGTGAGTGTTTGATAGTTGTTTTCTGGTGTGATAAAGGGATGATGCAAAATGAATGGAAGGATATTCAAAAAACCAGTTGGGTATTCTGACCCTGCAGGAAATCTTTACAGTTCGTGCACTGTGGTATTGTCTTCAGCTTGAATCTGTGAGTTGCATACAAATAGTGGCTGTGGAAAGTTGACACGTACAGTCAGAAAAGAAACTCCTGCTCCTAGGGTAAAAAACACTCATTTTTCTGTGAATCAGCCTTTTGTGTACCCTGAGGCTTCAGCTGTTGTAGAACAAGTTCAAAGAACTTTTTTCCTTTGTGCAGCTTCACTAGTGACTGAAATATCACTGTAGATTTGTGACCTGGTAGAAGAACAGTGTCGGAGTGAGGGAGGAAGGGAAGAAGGCCTAGTGTGAGCTGGCTGTTTTCTAATTGCAAAGTTCCAACTTCAGCTTTCTGCAGCTATCTCAAAAGGCAAGGGGATACCCTGGAAAAGCAGTGGGTGGCACTGTTTTACCTTCTACTGAGAAAAAAGTGTAATGGGCTTTGTTCTGCTTTTTTGTCACTGACTGGCAAAGTTGAGACATCATCATGTGTGCAGTTTCCTATAGCGATGTTTTGTCTTGTAGTCATCTGTTCAGGGTGCTTAATGCTGCCAGACAATGATAAAAGTCAAAAGAAAGCTTTTTTTTTTTTCCCTTAAAGATCGTATAGCTACTGAATGTTTAAAAGTAGAAAGCTTAGAAGATGGAGCATTTCTATTCTTGAGCTTTGCTTGGCAGAAACCTCCCATGATTCTACTCCTTTAAGTCTCATGGGAGCATTGTTCTTGGGATTCTATTTTGTTGAGTTTGCTGTTTGAAAGAAACAAACGTAGGCAATTTGAAGAACAGAGAATGGAAATCTGCAAGTTTGGATCCTTTTTCCTGTATTATTTTCTGCTTAGGCCTGTTGGACTATATCGCAAGGAAACATAAGGCAGAATCTAAAAATAAGATTTGATTTTACATGATGAGGCAAGTATTTTCTGTAGTACTGAACTATTTTGCTTGAAACTTGTATCATCACAGAATGGTAGGAGTTGGAAGGGACCTCTGCAGATCATCTGATCCAACTCCCCTGCCAAAGCAGATTAGTCTCGAGCAGGTCACACAGGAACATGTAGGCAGGTTTTGAGTATCTCCAGAGAAGGAGACTCTACAACCTCCCTGGGCAGCCTGTTCAGTGCTCTGCCACCCTCAGAGTAAAGAAGTTCCTCCTCATGTTGAGGCAGAACTTCCTGTGCTCCAGTTTGTGTCCATTGCCTCTTGTTCTGTTGCTGGGCACCACTGAGAAGAGCCTGGCCCCATCCTCTTGACACCCACCCTTTAGATATTTATAGTGTTGATAAGGTCCCCTCTCAGTCTTCTCTTCCCCAGGCTAAAGAGCCCCAGGTCTCTCAGGCGCTCCTTGTAGGAGAGATGCTCCCGTCCCCTCATCTTCGTAGACCTCCGCTGGACTCTCTCCAGTAGCTCCCTGTCCTTATTGGACTGGTGGGCCCAGAACTTGACACAATACTCCAGGTGTGGCCTCACCAGGGCAGAGTAGAGGGGGAAGAGAACCTCCCTCGACTTGCTGGCCACACTCTATTTGATGCAACCCAGGATGCCGTTGGCCGCCTTGGCCCCAAGGGCACATTGCTGGTTTGTGGTCATCCTGTTGTCCACCAAAACTCCCAAGTCCTTCTCTGCAGAGCTGCTTTCCAGCAGATCGACCCCCAACCTGTACTGGTGCATGAGGTTATTGCTCCGCAGGTGCGGGACCCTACATTTGCCCCTATTAAACTTCATTAGGTTTCTCTCTGCCCAGCTCTCCAGCCTGTCCAGATCTTGCTGAATGGCAGCACAGCCTTCTGCTCTCTGTCGTTCCTCCCAGCTTCGTATTGTCAGTAAATATGCTGAGGATACACTGTCCCTTCATCTAGGTCATTGATGAATATATTGAGGCCTTAATACTGACGCCTAGAGAACACAACTAGTTACAGGCCTCCAACTAGACTCAGCACCCCTGATCACAACCCTCTGAGCTTTGTCCTTCAGCCAGTTCTCAACCCACCTCGCTGTCCACTCATCTAACCCACGCTTCCTAAGCTTACCTGTGAGGATACGATGGGTGACAGTGTTGAAGGCGTTATTAAGGTCAGGGTAGACCACATCCACTGCCCTCCTCTCATCCACCCAGCCAGTCATTTTATCATAGAAGGCTATCAGATTGGTCAAGCTTGATTTCCATGCTGACTACTCCTGATAATCTTCATTTCCTCCATGAGCTTGGAGATAACAACCAGAATGAACTGTTCCATTGCCTTCCTAGGAATGGAGGTGAGGCTGACTGGCTGGCAGTTTCCCGGGTCCTCCTTCTTGAAGACTGGAGTGACACTGGCTTTCCTTCAGTCCTCAGACACCTCTACGGTCCTCCATGACCTGTCAAAGATGGAGAGTGGCTTAGCAATAACATCTGCCAGCTCCCTCAACACTTGTGGGTGCATCCCATTAGGGCCCATGGATCTGTGGGTGTCTAGCTTACCTGAAAGATCCCTAATCCCATCCTTCTCGACCAAGGGGTAGTCCTCCGTTCTTCTGACTTCTTCCCCTACTGCCTGAGGGCCAGCTTTAGTAGTAAAGACTGAGGCGAAGGTGGCATTCAACAACTCCGCCTTCTCCATATCCTCTGTCACCGGAGTACGTGCCTCATTCAGCGATGGGCCCACAGTTTCCCTGGTCTTTCTTTTACTACTAATGTATTTGAAGAACCCCTTCTTGTTGTTTTTGACATTCTTGGCTAGATTTAATTCCAAGTGGGGCTTAGCTTTCCTCGTTGCATCCCTGCATTCTCTGGCAGTTTTTCTATGTTCCTCCCAAGTGACTAGCCCCTTTTTCCACCTGTTGTAAATTTCTTTCTTCACTTTGAGTTTTTCCAGAAGCTTCTTGCTCGTCCAAGTAGACCTCCTGCATCCTTTGCTCAGCTTCTTCCTCATAGGAATGCACCAATCTTGAGTTTGGAGGAAGTGCTGCTTGAATAGCAACCAGCTCTTTTGGGCCCCTCTGCCTTCTAGACCCCTAGCCCATGGGATTCCTCCAAGTAAGTTTTTGAGGAGGCTGAAGTTGACTCTCTAAGTCCAGGGTTGCAATCCTACTTATTGTCCTGTTTCTTCCACGCAGGACTCTGAACTCCACCATCTCAAGGTCACTGCAGCCAAGGCTGCCCCCAACCAGTCCCTCCTTGTTTGTCACTAGGAGGTTGAGCAGCACCTCTCTTCTCATTGATTCCTCCACCACCTGTGTCAAAAAGTTATTGTCAGTGCTCTGCAGGAACCTCCTTGGACTGTGGCTGCTTGGCTGTGTTGCTTTTCTAGCAAATACCAGGGTAGTTGAAGTTCCCAATGAGAACCAGGGCCTGTGATTGTGAGGGTAATTTCAGCTTGCTGTAGAAGGCCTCATTGACTTCCTCCTTCTAGTCAGGTGGCCTGTAGTAAACACCTACAATAGTGTCACCTATATTAGCTTGCCCCTTAAGTCTCACCCATAAGGTCTCAACTTGTTCCTCCTCCTCCCCTAGGCAAAGCTCGATACATTCCAGATCCTTTTTCACATAGAGGGCAACTCCCCCACCTCACCTGGTTGGCCTGTCTTTGCTGAAGAGCACATTGCCATCCATGACAGTATTCCAGTCACGTGAGCTATCCCACCATGTCTCCGTTACTACTATGAGATCATGGCCCTGCAACTGCACACAGATCTCTAGCTCTTCCTGTTTGTTCCCCATGCTGCTTGCATTGGTGTACAGGCATTTTAGGGAGGTAAGTGAGCATGCAGGTTTCCCTGGAGGGATGGAGGAGGATC